CCTGCTTGGAAAGGCTCAGAAAAGCTGACCCCCTTCAAGTCGTTTCTTACAGGGACAGTGAGTAGCCAGGTCTAGGCTATGATACTTCCTGGACTGGAGGAAATGACCTGTATTTCTGGGGTGGGGTTGGGCACAAGCCCCACCCGTGCCAAAGATCCTACAAGGCTCGTTGTTAGGTTTGAGGCTACAGGATGACGGGAGAGCCACTCACTGCAGCCCCTTTCTTACCGCACCTCTGCCCCTACCCTCACCCTGCCTGTCTGTGAGTCCATAAATAGGCAAACAGAACCCCTAGGTCCTATCAGGGTGATGGGTGTCATTTTCACTTTCCCAGGGAAGCCTACATATCTCAGTTATCAGAGTCTGAGGTATTGGGAGCGATGGCAACTGCCCCCCCCCAACAGCATACAACGAATACACTGTAACTAAATGTGTCTCTTCACTTCCTCCACACCTGAAGACTCACACTTCCCTTCCTTCTGATCCCCTTCTCTTCTCTGCCAGAAACAAAGGGCACCCTGGCTGCAGGCTCCATTGTGAAACTCCCCCTCTTCTTTTGAAACCTCCGCAAAGAACACTAAGACCCAGCCCCCCCACCCCCCACACTGCCTGTGGAACTGAGCGCTCATCACAGACCTTCCATTCAGTCTGCCTCAGTGCCCCTGTTGTGATTGTGGAGAGCTGGATTGTCATGGAGCTAGAACCAGACCACTCTGGGCTATCTTTAGTTCCCTTGACAGCCCTGCACTGCCCATTTCCGTGTTTGATCTAACTTCCTGTATCAGGTAAAACCCTTTTTGGAATGTACAGACTCCCAAGCCACAGGCTCGGCATGTCATTAGATGACATCTGCAACCCATCATAGATGCGTTAAGAAAAACTTTTTACAACCAATCCTTTTGATTTTTTTCTGTAAAAATATTTATTTCATGCATATGGGTGTTTTGACCGTATGTGCATCACAGGCATGCAGGACCCAAGGAGGCCAGAAGGGGGCACGAAATGTCTTGGGATTGGAATTACAGATGTTGACACTGCTGTGTGGGTTCTGGGACTCGAACCTCGGTCCTCTGGAAGAGCAGATAGTGCCAAGGCACCCCTCTAGCCCCAGTAATTTATTAAGTAATAAAAAAAAAGAGGTTTGTTTTTTCTTTTAAGTTTTATTTAATTATTTATATATGTATATATGGGGGCGGGTCACAAAAGCCAGACGTGGGTGTCAGATCCCCTTGAGCTGGAGTTACAGGTAATTTTGAGCTATCCAACGTGAGTGCTGAGAACTGAACCCAGGTCCTCCGCAGGAACAGTAGGAGCCGTCTGTGCAGTTCCACAACAATGCATTATTAAAAATGCTTTAAAGCGAGGAACTGCCTCTGACATGAACTGATTGGCCTGCTCTTTGATCACCTACCCCTGAGGGGGGAGCAGCCTTACCAGGCCACAGAGGAAGACAGTGCAGCCACTCCTGATGTGATCTGATAGACTAAGATCAGAAGGAAGGAGAGGGGGACCTCCCCTCTCAGTGGACTTAGGGAGGGGCATTCGTGAAGAAGGGGGAGGAAAGGTGGGTTTAGGAGGGGAGGAGGGAAGGGTTTATGGCGGGATACAAAGTGAATGAAGTGTAACTAATAACAAAATAAAAATAAAGAATTAAAAATAAAAAAATTCAAAAAATGCTTTAATGCATGACTTTTTTTGTTCTATTATTATTATAAAAACCCTTGAAACTGTTACTGTTGGAACGTGGTGTTAACGGTAACTTAAATCTGTGCTCACAGCTGTAGTCACACACGTTTGACTTGAGGTGAGAGCTGTGTTTTCTGCATCCAGAGATGTGAGAGGGACCCTACAGGTGGTCATGGCAGGCAGGGAGGAAAACTGTCACAAGGTGGGAATGAAAACTCGATTCAGATTGACTTCATCCACCTACACCAAACCTCCAAGAGTCTGGGGCTGGGGGGTTTATTTGCCAGTGTATGCAAACCCAGTATAATTTAATGAAAAGTTTCTTGGTATAACCCAATCCCTGGTGCTCAAGGACGCATATGCATTGAAACTCAACTCGGAGTACATGCCATTTCTTCTGAGAAGATGGGTTCTGGAGATAGGCTGCCTGCATTAGCTTAAGGGCCTAGGAAGAACCTGGCCTGGTCTCGGTTGTACAGATAGTGTAGAGGGCATTTGGGCTATTAGCTATCTCTTGTCCTGACGTGGGAGCTTGGGGCAGCCCCTGGCTATACAGATAGTGTAAGGGCCATTTAGACTATGAGGCTTCCCTAGTCCTGGTTGGGGGAGCTTGGGGGAGCCTCTTGCTGTAAGGGTAATTTAGATTACTCATCACGTCTGGTCCTGGTTGTAGGAGCTTGATTTGGCCTGGCTCAACAGATAACACAGACCACCTCTTTAGCATTTCCGTTACCCACGTTCTGGGTGGGAGAACAGGTTTTTGTCAATTCCTTTGAGAGACCCATCCCGTGTGTTCATGGGTCCTGGTCTCCCTGGAGGTCTGTGGGCACAAGGGCCTTCATGCTGTGCTCTCTCTCAACAATCACAGTGGGCGACAAACGACTCAGGACTCTTTGCGGTTATATTTTTGTTTACTTCTTACAGAATTCTGCCTGCAGAAGGCCTCCCTTTTCAGGCTGTGTATTTTAGAGAATGACATTTTTATCTGAAGTGGAATTCATACAACTTAAAAAGCAACTGTCTTGAAGCCGCTTCCGTGGCATTTCCCGTGTTGACAGGGTTGCGCAACCGCCACCTCTGGCTTTGAAAGCTTCCCAGCACTTTATGATGTGACTGGCCAGGCAGGAACGAAGATAGCGTGGACAGACATCAGTCCAACTGTTAGACTAGTTAGACAAGGGGCCTTAGAAATGAGATCTTCCCCAAGAATCTGATGCTGGGAGAAGGGAAGGCACCAGCTGGGCGGGGACTTGTCTCCTGGCAAGACACTTCTTCACCCAGGTGAGACAACAGGCCAGACCTCCTGACAGCATGCCACAGAAGCCCTGATAAGATGGGCCAAGGGCAAGCAGAACCACCTCTTTCAGTTTGTTTGTGTTTTGTGTTTTGTTTTTCAAAACAGGGTTTCTCTGTGTAGCCTTGGCTGTCCTGGACTTGCTTGTAGACCAGGCTGGCCTCGAACTCATAGAGATCCAAAATGACATTGTGTGAACCTTGGCCCCTGAATTATTTCTGCTTGGCTAACAAAATTGCCTACAGCCTGGGCTGGATGAAAGAGAGGGAGGTAGAGTGAAGGTTCTTGGGCTTGTGGGATCGAAGAGGGGCCACGAGGAGAGAGGAAGAAGGAGGAAGGGAGCAGGCCATTATGGGTTGGCATAACCAGGAGACATGGCCTAGAGCAGCACTGAGGACTGGCCTGATGGAGCAGAAGCAGCCCAAATGGATCATGTGCAAAGTATTTATGGGGATATTGAATGGAGGAGGCAAGATAGCTTAGAAGGTTAATGTCTGCCCAGTTCCAGAGTTTTAAGGCTTATAATAAGTCTAACAGGCATCTGTGTCTTCTATTATAAAATAGCACGTTAAGGAATAACTGCTGCTGTATTAATGACTGGCGTTAATTAATATTAACAGAATAATTCATCGTACATATTCCTTATTAACTATATGAATCAGTATTAAATATTAATGTTTCCACAACAGCAGAGCAAGAATGTGTGAGGGACACAAAATGGAGAAAAGCCTAATTACTACTGTGTCCAGGGAGAAATTTAGACTAATGAATGGACCCACTATTGTTAAACTAGTTTTGTTTCTGGTAAAATGTCTACTGACGCTGCCCATCATGTCTCATCAGTAGCAGGAGTAACAGGAGACCCAAGCACTCCTCTGCTCTACAAGTCTCCGGAACGTTCTCAGAGGGAGACGCTCAGTGAAGCACCTTCCTGTTCTAAGCAACGGTCACAAGTGTCTACATGTGTTTATGTGTGACCCGACTTTGCCTACAATCCTTCCAGTTTGGATGTTTGGGATTGCGATAGTTATCTGATTGCTGTGAGAGCAGAAAATAAATAATAATAATAATAACCCGAGGACAGCAGAACAGACGCATACAAGTAGGATGCGCAGCTTAAGGAATCCAGCTCAGCACCGCCCTGAGTTGCTGTTTTACCAAGACAGACATCTAATCCCAGAGTCCTCTTGTTCTATGACATAGCAAAGCTCCTTGTCACTAAAGATAAAAAAGTTATCTCAACAAAGATCTCTTTTCCTACTGATTGAATGGCCTTTCCTTCACTTCTCGGCTTGAACCATACTGAGTTACAGAGACATTCTATTGTGTTCTAGCAAGGTCACATTCAGTGGCCATTATCTGCTCAGAGTTGGAGCCAGGCATCTGTTGGAGGGAGGGAGCTAGCTCATATTTTGGTGAGTGCTCCCTACTGTACCTAAATCCCATCCCTGCTTCCGAGTCACACCCCGAATTCTTTCCCACCCGATGACTTACCAGCTTTAGCAATTCTATGACAAATGTTATTTCTTCCCTTTCCTTTAGCAAAGTATGAACTAAAGACAATTAACAAGACACTTCCTAAAAGGTTTTGTTGTATCGATAGTGTTGGGCAAATACCTAGAGAGCTGTCTGTGATAAAGGTTCTTGCCTGAGACGTCAGAAAGGTTGTGAAGCCTCTGGGAGGTGGCCTGGTACTCACTGGCTGCTTCTCAGAGAGGCAATGAAAGAGAAAAGAAAGACCAGCATAATGGGAGCAAAGCCCAGAGAGATGGGGACTGGAAGAGAGAGGAGTCAGTGGGTTAGCATCAGAAAGGAAGAGTTGCCTTGAACATTTGACAAGAATACTTTGTAGAGCTGGGCATGGTGACACATACTTTTAATCCCAGCAATTAGGAGGCAGAGGCAGAAGGATCTCTGGGAGTTCGAGGCCAGCCTGGTCTATAGAGCTCAACAGACTACACAGAGAGACCCTATGCCAAAAAAAAAAAAAATGTTCAGGAGTGGGCTTTGGTATCGTTAGTCAGTGGTTAACAGACCACTGAAAGTTGGCCCAGTTCGTTTATGGAACAGAGACCCAGATGACCCCAAACTCAGTCACTCTTGTGGCTCCCATCTCCAGTCCTTTTAATCCTGGCTAGGACAGCGGCCTTAGATACTTTCTTCCGGTCGTAAGCCAGGCCGAGGGCAGCCATGCAGTCGATGAAGAACGTGGTGAAGTTGATGTGCCAGCGGTACTCACTTACAGAGTAGTCATAGGGAAAGGTGTGATGGTAGTTGTGGAAGCCCTCGCCTGGAACAGAAGCAAGGAGAGCAGTTAGGGGCTCAGTGGCTGCTGCTTCCTCCTCTGTGCAAACCTTTTCCTGTTGGCTGCCTGAAACCTGGAAGAACCCAGCTATTGAGTGAAGAGACAAACCCCCAGTCTTGCATTCTAAAGTGAACAGATGCCCTCAGAGGCATCTCAGGAAACCAGCTGACAGGTTCTGCTCACACATGCCTGTCTGGGAGCCTTTGTCAGAGGAAGTTTCCATTATAAGATAAGAGGATGGAAGAGAAGCTGTGTCTGTGGGAACAGATTTTATGATGGAAAATATCAGAGCCTTAAGAAAGAGGGCCCCAAGCCCCACAGGGTCTGCACATGGGTGGCTGTGGTAAGGGCAGGGCAGAGGGTGGGATTGGAACTGTTGCTGTGCTTCTTAGATGGAGTAAGCTACACTGTTCCCCATGAACTGCTGTTCCCTGGGTAGCGGTTTCAACAGGGTGGACAGCAGCCACCAATACTTAGCAAGAAGGAGTCGTGGGCAGTGTCAGGAGTTTCCTTAGCCACTCTTGGCTCACGGGACAGTGCTCTGGCTGCTAATTCTTTGAACTTTGACCTTGGGATGGGAGAGGCACTAGGAACACAGAACTCTGAAGGACATCCTTCATGGGCATCTTGCAGGAAAAAGGAGAACAGAAATTCTGGATTCATGTTCCTCTCGGTGATCAGTTTGGCATTTTCCTGTTCTCTGCGTGGCTCTTCTTTCTGAACTGATTCCAACAATACTGACCCTTTTCAGGTTTCGGGAAAGACGGTGAACAAGAAAAGTCATTGAACCCTGAAGATTAAAAAAACACCCCTAGGGAAAGTCAGAAGAACAGAAAGAATGTGAAGAGCCAGAGGAAGTGGTGGAGGGACCGCTGTGGAAGGCCGACCTCTGCACCACTGTGGCAGCTGTGACTACTGCCCAACATCTGTGCAAGACTGAGCTGGTCAACACCCAGCCATAGCCAGAGGAAGGGCCCATGGGGCACTTCCCTGAAGATTCAGATTCAGTTAATGGTTGAGAGAAGAGAGATGGACATTTTCATCAGTGGTGTAGCCACTTACCAGTGTCCGTGCTTCTGAGAATAAAGCTACATCCTGTGCGCCACCCCAGGAAAACTTGCTGGGTCACAGACACACAAAAAGATATGTGAGTAGGAGGGCTAGTTGGAAAGAAGGGGATTGGCAGGCGTTGGAGGGGACAAGAGGGAGCAAGAATGACTGAAATCATGCACACACATGGAAATGCCATCTATCCTTAGGTGTAATGAATATATACTAACTAAAACATTTTTAAGTTAGAAGAAAGCATGCCTGGGTTCTGGAGAGATGCTCATTGGCTAAGAGCACTGGCTGCCCTTGCAGAGGGCCTGGATACAGTTCTCGGCACTCACGTGGTAGCTCAAAACCATTGGTAACTCCAGTTCCAGGGGACCCCACACCCTCTTCTAGCTTCTACAGCAGGGCATGCACATGGCGAACACGCACACACACGCACACACACGCACACACACACACGCACACACACACACACACACAGACGCACTCGTGCACGTAAACATAAGTTAATCTTCTTAAAAGCAATATCTCAATGCAGAACATAGGGGCCCGCGCCTTTAATCACAGCAATCAGGAGGCAGAGGCAGGCCGAGCTCTATGAGTTCAAGGCTAGCCGGGGCTACACAGTGAGTTTCAGGCCAACCCTAGCTAAAAAATAAAACATCAAAATACCCCCAGAGATAATGGAAACTATAGAGAAAACGAAAACAATTCCTTCTAAACAAATGACTCCAACCAAGACTTCTCAAGGTCTACACGCTGGGTAGTGTGGCATGGGGCTAAGGGCACTAAAGGCTCTGAGTTAGACCTAACCATTCCCCACTGGTTCTCGTCTGACGTGTAAAATAGAGCCCCCGTCTCTCTGTCTCTCTCTTTGTCTGTCTGTCTGTCTCTCTCTCTCTCTCACATACACACACAGGTAATTAAATAAAACAAAAACTTCAGGGCAGTCAAGGATAAGGTAAGAGGGCTAGAAGAGCAGATACAGAGAGGAGAATCACAAGAGAGATGAAGCAAGAGCCCAGCAGTCACTTTGCACCCGTGAGGATTCAGGAGCCGGTGGAACTCACTGTACAGCCTCGGCGCACTGGCCCAAGACACACATCAGCCTGTGCTAGGCCATTTCTATGAGAAGCTCAGAGTTTTATAGCATAGGTGGTGGGTTTTTTCCTTCAAGCCGTCAAATCAAGACGCTCTATATAATGGTCGGAAGGACCTAAAAGCTGGAGGAGGATTTGGGAAACTACAGTTGAGGTTTGCTGAACTAGGTCATAGTAGTTTCCCTCCATACACAGCAGGCCTGTGTGGAGAAAGCACTATGCTTTACTGGTCTCTCCACTAGCTTACTGGTCTAGTTATGCATCTGCTGCCCCTAGGGAAGATGCAACCTGACTCAGAAGCAACTGGAAAAGGAGAACTTAAAAAGCATTCAGTCACAGTTGGTGATGGTTTGGGAATTAAAAATCAATGGATTCGCCCTCATTTTAGAGTGGCAACCTAAGATCCAAAAAAATCATTAAAAAAAAATTAATAATAATAATAGGTTTTAATCTGGCCTCTCCGGCTTAGCCTTGGTGCTCCAATCAACAACCCACTTCCAGTCGTCTTCATGGGAACTGACAACTTACCAAAAGCTGCCATCGAAACCAGGGGGTTCTCCCGGGCAGCAATGGTCCTGTCATAGGGCCGACAGCCGTAGAGGTGGGCGGCGCTGTTCACCAGCCAGGTGGCGTTGAGAAACAGGGCGTACCGCAGGAACGTGGTGACGCACAAGCTGTGCTGCCAAGTTTCGGCCCAGAAGTACCAGGGTATCAGTGTGGGCAGGATGAGGCCGATGAGCGTGACAGCTACCTTGTAGTACCTGTGTGGAGAGGTCACACGCTGAGCCTGTGGGGAGGAGCCACGAGCACACTTGGGAAGTCCACGTTCGCTGTGCTGGGCGGTCTCTTCTCATGCACTAGGAATGCAGGAGGGGTGTGTGTTATCCCATTCTTCACACACACACACACACACACACACACACACACACACACAATGCGTATGAGTGTTTTGCCTGCATGTATGTTTGTGTATCACATGTGTGCAAGTATCCAAAGAGATCAGAAAAAGGCTCTGGATCCCCTGGATTTACAAGCTGTCTGCCACCATGTGGGTGCTGGGAATCGAGCGTGGGTTCTCTGGAGGAGCAGCCAGTGTTCTTCACCACTGAGCCATTTCTCCAGACCTTATTTCACCCTTTAGGTGAGAAGTACTGGTGGGATGTGGGTTAGAACACAGGTCTGTTGACCAGAAACCCGATGTTTCTTTTCACAGAGTGTGAGGCCATGTTGGCCAAACAGGTCTGGCTCAAACCATAAACTCAGCTGGTAAATTCTGCTTGCTCGAGTTCTTGTCCAGCTCCCTTTGGGATCCTTTCTTGGATCCACCTCCATCTTTGACACAGAATTGTGACAAGTGTTCGTTCCCTGCTACTACCCCTAGATCTTTGCCCTGCTTTCCAGGAGGCCACTGAGTGCCCTTGGCCACCTACAGTTCTCCGCCCTTTGGAGGCTTTTTCATTCTTCACTCCCAGGCTACAGACATTCCAAGGAATTGATTGACAGCTGTAAAGCAGTCTGATATTCAGCTTTGTATTGACATTGTCTGTATTCAGCTTCTTGCCTTTCCACTCTCCCCTCTGCTTCCCTGGCCCGGGTCTTCCGTATCTAAATTGTTTCCCTGACCTTCACCTGTCAATCAAGGGCTGCTTTTACCTGTACTGGGGTAGCCGTTCTGAAGTGTATCTCTGCCCCACAATGCCAAAGACCTCCTTCAAGGAAAAGGACCGTGTTTGTAGTGTCAGGCTTTATTTAGCTAGCCTCATGAGCTGTGTTTACGGTGTCTCTGTCTGCACGCAAATGTCAGAATCACTGTTGTTTCTGAGGCTGTTTTTTCTTTTTTTTTCAGTAACTTTTCCCAGAAGTCTTGGTCTCCATGAATGTTTCACAGTATAGACCATATTCTGCCTAACTTCTGGTTATTTGCATTCCTGCCTAGAATACAGGCTTTTTAAAGAGAAGGACTGCATTACTTCCCAGTTGTGTCCATGACTATTCTCCATCAATGAACATTTGTTGCATTTGATTTGTTCCATGGAAATAGCTCAGAGAGAAAGGAACAAAGCAATAATCCATGCTTATGGGCCTGTGAGACATTAGAGAATTGTTTTTTTGTTTTGTTTTATTTTTTATTACAAGCATGCAGAGTAAAATCCTTCAGCTCTTATTTAATGTGTTCTATCAGAAAAACTAGGGTCCCTAATCTCCATGTGCCCTGGGTTCCACCCCACCTGTCACTCACCTCCTCTGGAACATCACCAGCTTCTCGGCTTTTAGGTCAGACATGTCCAGCTTCCCGCCCTTCTCTTTGACAGCCGGGTGTTTGCGCACCAGCAGCCAACCCACATGAGAGAAGAAAAAGCCCCGCCGGGAATCATGTGGGTCGGCGTGCGTCTCTGTGAACTTGTGATGGGCACGGTGGTCTCGGGCCCATTCATACACATCATTCTGAAAGGACAGGAAAGAGGAACCTAGCAGTGAGAAGAGATGCCCTCCTGGGGGAACCCTGTGCCCAGATGTTGCAAGGATACAAAACTTCGCCTCAAAAAGTCCCCAGGGACCTGATCCAAAGGAGCCCTCGGGGAGGACCCTCCTCTGCACACCTGGCCCTGAGCAGCTGACAGTCTCAGGCCCAGCAATCACACTGCTGCTTCCTTCAGTTGTGTGATGGGGAGATGGAGCATGGGGAGGTCTGGGGGGGGGGGGGGGCAGTGAGAGCATGGCAAAGAACACTAGTTCTCAAAGAAAGGGATTTGAGGCAGGTTCCTCGTGGAATACCTAGTCATCGGGCGCAGAGACTAGGAAGCAAGTGCTCCTGGGATCCTAGGAAGCTGCTGTTAAAAGGGTGCAGGGACGTTCACCTGATGCCTTTACAAGGGACAGCTCACCCCACCCAGTGTCAGGGCCAGCTGTGTAACTCATGAGCCTCAGCACTTTTCCCAAGGACCTCTGGCTTATTTGCAACTCTTTCTATCCTTTCAAAAAGGCATCAATGTCTCTTGTTGTTTTTCTGTCCCACCAGGACATCGGGAGCTGCTGAGGAATAAGTTGTTAGGTAGAAATGATTAGACACACATTAGAAATGATTAGGTGGGCGTCCAAAAAAGGGGGACTGGCTTGATTTCCTCGTACTGCCAACTGGGCCTGCTACTGATGTCTAAAAGCAATAACAGGCCCCTGTCCCTTTCACTTTTTTCTGTTATGAATTTTTTTGCCTCAGCAAACTTCAATAGTTGACACGCCCAGCCTGGCGGTCACTCAAAGAACCACAGCGTTAACCTGTCCGACCTCTTAGTGACCAAGTGCAGAAAGAGGCTGAATCTCTTAAGACAAGAGGGTTTAATGAGTTCTTCGATGCCACAGACACAAGGCTTCTGCCTGCCATGGAGGTGGATTTTTATTATCTACAGCAGAGTTCCCAAGACTGTGGCATATTAGTTTTGATCCCACTGGGACTCCTGAGATAGACCTTACAGCATGAGTTTATTGAGTGTTCAAGAAACCAGAGTCAGCATTTGGCTCATGAGCTGTAACCCATAAGGTAAGCTTGAACAACCACGGAGAGCAGCTCATACAATACGTAACCTGGGGACCTTGGGGAAAACAGTGGCCCTATAACTGGAGAGGCCTCCTATTGACTCCTATTGAATCCCATTTCCTGACTCTGGGACCCCCCCCCCCCCCCGCTGTGTGGACCTCGGCACTGAGCATGTACTTGTGACTGAGAGAAAATAAAAAGGACAGTGGCTGTCCCGTTGGCGCTCCTTGAGGTGCTGACTCGCTGCACAGTGGCCCCAGCCTTCACGGAGCAGACACAGCAGCTTCTTACCTGGAAAGCCATGGTGTTGGCGATGATGAGGAAGAGCCGCAGCGGCAGCCGCGCTTTATAACTTCGGTGGCTCCACAGGCGATGAGCCCCGGCTGTGATGCCCAAACCAGCAACTATATCATAGAACAATCCTGCCGGGAGACAGCGGGTCCCATTGTGGGTCCCTTTGGGCCAAGGCTGTGAGGACCATTTGCTGACTCTAGTTCAAGTCTTCTTCAGAGGTTAGTGAGGGTCCTTTCTCCCCTGAACCTTGGGGTGCCTTGGTCTTGATAGCTTGTGGCTTTGAGCACTTGAGTAGTTTCATTATGCTCCAGTCTCTCTATCTAGAGATGGAGAAAGCTCAGAAGCCTCAGAAATCAAGATGGCAACAGGGCTCTTACTGCCCGTCTTCAGGGGCAGTACCCGGAGCCTATCAACCCTGACCTTCCTCTATCTGTTCTAAGTTGTTCACTGCCACAGATTAACCCTCAGTGCCTTGAAAAATAGCAACCAGAGCAATTTGGTTTGGTCAGTTATAACAACCCCAGATTTTAAGAGGTCACAGTTGTGCCAATTCACCATCTGGGACGACAACATTTCAGTGTGATGACACACACCAGGCTCATATCAGGGAGAGCCAGCCCTGCACAGTGTTATGTTTTTACAACGGCCTGAGCTTGACCGAGAATGTTAATATTTTCACAGTTACTGCGCACCTTGGATACTGGCTGTGATTACTTTTGCATCTTGAAGAAACGTAGCATAGAAAAGCCTGTTTATCCAGGATCAATCGCACTGTTGCAAAACTGCAGCTGTGGGCAGAAGCCCAGTTTCCTGTACCATCCATCTCCCAAGGTCTGAGCTGAGATCCCAAACCTCTCCTCTGCTACATCCCTCTGACCGGATGCTGGCTGCCAGAACAATGCTGTGTAACTCTGAAGCTGGCAGCTGGTGGTGACTGTGTCAGGGCAAATCAGCTCTGTACTGTCTGTGCCCTGGACAAAGGATGGTTACCATGGCCTACCTCACTGTCTTGCAAAAGGGCTCAGACGGATGTTAATAGAGAAGGAGGCCGTCTACCCTTGCTCTGTTCCCTAACTATGCTCACCACAGCTGGGACCAGAATCACATACATGACCTGACCCTGAACCACAGAGGAGCCAGGATTCTGCAATCACAGAAGAAAAGAAAGGGCTTTGGCTAACGCCCAGAGGCCCTCAGGGGAGCACCCTCAAGTGCCTGTGTTAGTTCCATGTCACAGGTGTGACTGGGACACTGGCTTTGCAGGCACAGGCAGCAAGCACAAGGGGATTGGGACAAGAGCCCAAACACAAGGGGTCCCTTCCAACCCCTTGTCTGTCAAACTGACAGCTCAGTTCAAAGATATTTGTTCTGTGGCCCCCAGGGAAGAATCGTTTGTGTCCATAATAGTTATTAAGCAACACCTTGAAGCATTGTCCTAAGAAATGGGCTGGAGGGGTTTCCCCTCTTAGCCCTCATGTTAGCACCCCTGCAGGACAGAGGCTGAGTTGAGAGAACGGCTGGGAAAACACACAACTGACCTAAGGAACACGACCGTCCCGATCGTGACAAGGCACTGTTGGTAACTGAGCTGCAGTCCTGAGATCAGGGCTCTCCTCAGCTGCACTTCCCTGGCACCGACAGGACATCTAAGGTGATGTTCCAAGGACCAGAGCTCACCTGCTGGAGGTACTCCCAGGATGAGAGCAGCCAACTTGTACATCGCTGCCCTCCTAGAGACAGCTACCAGAAAGTCCTCTGCCTTCCAGAGACCGCTGGCTCACCATCCCTCAGAGGGCAGCAAGGCCTACAGAGCCCTGTCCTCTCTTCCTGATCTAAGGACTCAGGGGAGAACCTACCTGAAGGCACGTGTCTGTGTGCATCAGTCCACAATCCCACGGGTCCCCACGGAGCTGAGCCACCACGTAAGGGACCCAGTGACAACTCTCTTCTTTGTTATCACAGCCTGAAGGTCAGGGTTTCTCAATAGCCCGTGGGGCCCTCCTCAGGCTCCCAGGCCTCCCAGCACGGGCCTTGGTTTTCCTGTGGCAGGCAATGCTGCTGACCCAGGAAGCTTTTCGGAGACTGCCAGTGCTTTGCCATACATTTGTCCCTCCGCCCCTCATAGGCTTTAACATCCGGGTTAAAGGACTTTCGGAACTGACACCCCTGCACCAGCAATCCCACAAGGCTCGTTTCCAGACTAGTTATCAGTATCTCAGGGAGTGGAGAGGAAATTCGAGGAATCTGCACAGAGAGCAGTTGCTTTTCTGTCTTGTTAGAGGGTAGGGAGAAGCCTCTGGCACTGACTCAGGGAATGAGGGGTTGGGGGGATTACCCAAGAGCCAGGTGTAGACCTTGCAGGAGGGAAGCAGGGTGATCCCGTACAGGGCTCCCACGTGCAGCACGGCCATAAGGATGATGTTTCTCCAGACGTACTCCAGCTTGGGCGGGGGCCCCTCCTCGTCCTGGTAGCTGGGGTCGTGGATGTCATCCTTCATTTCAGGACAGATGTCCTCTTCCAGGTAGAGGGGCACCGGCACCGTCTTGAACTTTTCTCTTCCTCCCTGCATGGCCCCAGAGGGCGGTGCTGCGATGGTAGAGGCGCCACAGTCGCTGGAGACCTTCAAAGAGAGGGAGTGGATGGTCAAGGGCAGGTACATGAGGGTAGCAAGGAGGTATTTCCCCTGTAAGACAGCCAAGGGAGTGGAGGCAGAGACCGTGGCCCCGGTGCCCAGATCATGCAAAGATAGAGTACACCCCTAGATGGAACAGAGAGAAATTCCCAGAAACTACACAGGACGTGTTGACAACAAGGCCTCATGGGGAGGGGCCAGGAGAGGAGGTGAAATATCTACACCTCAAGCAACACACAAAGGAAAATGCACACGCGTGCAGAAAGGTACTGGCGGGATGGGGTTTTCCTTAAAGTCGAGGGACAAAATAAACTGCATATCCCCCACTTGTCTCCTGCCCCTACCAGATGTCAGAAGAATCCCACCTGGTGCCTGCGCTGTGGGGGCTGGGGGTGGTGACTGGAGAAAAGCTGACCTCTTGTGGCAAGCAGGCCTTCATCCTGGCTCCTTGGAAGCCTGGATCCCACTCTGACAGCTGAGAGCGCAGGATCCAGACTGAGGATGAGTCCGGAGGTCACTGAGTGCCACGTACCGGGCCAGCCGTACAGGTGTCACCATTCAATCCTGCTGTGTGCAGATAATTCCACGCTCAGGACTTAAATATAGGGCGGGTAGAGCTGGCAGTTGTGACTGCGTCCGGTATTTGCTCAGAATGCTTCATGGCTGCCAACAAGGGATAAAGTGTTAAGGCAGCCCCATGAGGAGATGAAGGCTGAAGGTGAGCGAGCGAAGGGAGGGGACAGCCAGCAAGGCCCGCACTCACCTAAAGCAAGGCCATGGCGTAGGGCACACAGTAAGAGAGAGACAACTTTGCTCCAGTTCCTAGAGAGACTGTTTTTCAGCACTCTGGAGAGCTTTGGCCAAGGGGAACGTGCTACTCTCTTGTTTTGGCAGCTTTGGGTATCCAGAAATCTGCTGTCCCACTGGCATACAGCCCCTTGCTCCTCTCTCCTGGGCTTCACCTCTGTGGACCCTGGGTCCCTGCCAGCATCTTGGGCTAGAGGAAGCTGGGGTCCAGTTCTTAAGCTGCCCAGTGTGCACAAAGTATTCTCAAAATGGGAAATCAAGTCTGGGGGGCAGGGTGAAGAGTGAGAGTCAAGGTCGGGTGCTTGGCAAATGTGTCACACTAGGGCCCTTGCACAGCGGGGACATCTCATCTGTGTCCATCACAATCCATCTCCTCTTTCCGCCCCCGGACACTGCCGCCTTCTCACTCAGCCAGTGCTGGCTCTTTCCACCTGCTCAGGATGTTCGCCACCAATCCAGAGCACCCTGACCGGCTCACGCGCACAGGGCTGAGTGTCTTTGCCCACGCTCAGTCACAGGACGTGGTTCACAGGAGGCGGCCACCTCCAGACATCAGTGTCCAGTCCCTTCCCTATGTCCCTGCCTCGGGAACACCTGCTTCAGCAGGGAGGTCTGAGGCTCTTCCATCAGGTTGGGATTTGGGCATCTCCTGTAAGGGGAAGGCAGGGAATCCCAGACAGCTGCTTACAGACAGCAGAGGTGCAAACATTCGTGTTTGGGAAAAGAACAGTGAGGGGGTACTGAGCAATTCTTACAAGCTAACTTAAAAGCTTTTGCAAAAGTCTCCCTGCCACCTATGACCCCACTTTAGGGAGGAGGAAACTGAGAGATGGAGAGAACCAATAACTTAGCTGTGGTTCTAGGAGCCAGTGACTCAGTGGAAACTGATGATCACCGAAGTGTGACGCCCCAGCCCAAGTGCAGAACGAAGCTGCCCTAGGGCCCCAAGACAAACTGACTTTGCAGCCCATCTTCACTAGCTCCATGTCAGGGCCAGGAAGCTCAAACTGCAGGGCTCTGCACTCACGGGTCTCCTGAGGCAAAGGAAGCCGTATGAGGGCAGGCATGCCCAACTTCTTCCTCTGCAAAAGCTTCCTTGACCCCTCCGTTCCCCCCTCATCAAATGGCCAGGGACCCCACTGTTTTGATGGCTTTACCACACACTTTGCTTTGCTCACAACTTTGCTTTAACAGCGATATTGAGAACTATTTGCCCTGGGCGTGGTGACGCACACGCTTCATCCCCGAACTCAGGAGGCAGAGGCAGGAAGATCTCTGAGTTTGAGGCCAGCCTGGTCTACAGAGCGAGTTCCAGGACAGCCAGGGCTACACAGAAGAAAACTGTTTTGCATCTCATTGGTAAACCATAAGCTTCCCTTTTCGCAGGAACCCTGACCTTTCCTTGGTTTCTCTAGAGCATTATAAAATTTCTTGCAGTCATTAATTACTCAATAGACACTTCCCAGAGATGAGAGATGAGCTGCAGGATACAATAAGGGAGCAGTGAGTATTATACTTCCCCTGAAATGTGAGTGTAAACGAGAGCTGGAGAAGCCTACAACAGCCATTGTAAAAGTAGGTGTGGAATTACCCAGAGCTGGGAGGAAGGGAAGGAATGGACACTTCTCCAGTGCTTATGGGCCTGGAAGCTGCCTCAACTTGTCTTGTTCTGACGAGCAGTCTTTGCACCTAAAACAGATACGTGCACACTCCATCCTGCAGAAATTCCCACTCCAGAAAAATTATTTTCTTCGATCATGCCTGTAATCCCAGCACTCCGGAAGGCAGAGGCAGGTGGATCTCTGTGAGTTTGAGGCCAGCCTGGTCTACAAAGTGAGTCCAGGACGGCCAATACTACACAGAGAAACCCTGTCTTGAAAACACCAAAACCAAACCCAAACAACAACTACAAAAGCTTATTTTCTTCAGTAACTTTAATTATGGTAATGTTTTGTGTCTTCTGTCTTCGTGTACTTTTTGCTGTGCTAGGGATCAAACTGTGGCCTTGCACATACCGGGCCGGGTGCCTCACCACTGGTTTTGTTTTTGTTTGTTTGCTTGCTTGCTTGCAGAATATTTATTAAGGTTGTTTAATATACAATTCTTCATTTGACATTTTGGAAGTCCTTTATTGCAAAGACAATCCTTTTGCCTGATGACAAGCAGCAGCCGTAATGATCGTTCTGGACATCCACACTGGGTAAAGTCCATTTCTTCTTGAGACATAGGTTTCCTTCTATGTTTCTGAGGTGATATGTTTATTATTTCTGCAGTGTCTGGTGGCCTCTGTTACATTGGTAAGTCTGGGGACATACTTTCTTTAGAATGCTGAGAGATTACAGATGAGTGAGAAGGTATGCCAGCTGATCTCAAAGCTTCTGAGGCACTGGGTTTAGGCCTGTCTCTTCTGTCAGGGAACCTTATTGATGGAGCATGTGGCTTCACTACCTGCATGACCCTGCTGGTGGAAGCCATCTTGACCCTTCCCCACCTCAAGCCGGGGCCTTTACCACTGGTTTTGAGAGAGGGTTTGCCTATGCAGCTCAGGCTGGCTTGGAACATGGTATTTTCCTGCCTCAGCTAGAGTAGCCGGGCACATCACGAGCTTTGTTTCCTGTTGTTTTACGGGAAGAGCTTGAAGGGGCAGTTCAACACTCCAACACACAGTTGGAGGAGATCACCAGCAACTAGGTCAGACAATTCAATCTCACATGTCATCAGTCCTGTGATCCGGAGCCTTAATCCCCGCAGTCAGAAGGTTGAAGCATGACCATCAGTTTGAGGACACCCTGGGCTACAAAGCCAGTCTCTGTTTCAAAAACAAAATTTTCAATCCTATTCAGCACTTGGGAAGCAGAGGCAATTGGATCTCTCTGAGTCTGAGGCCAGCCTGGTCTACGCAGTGAGTTCCTGGCCAGCCAAAGCTACCAAGTGAGAATCTGTCTCCAAACAACAAACAAAACCCCTACTCAGCACAAAGGTCTAAGCCCAAACTTTTCCTAGGCCCAGGGAAACTCTGAAGCCTAGGGGACAGAACACTTGAACCTACAATCTTCACGTGGCCCTTTTTGAGGATCTCACAGTCAGCGTCCTTCCTTATCAAGAACTCTGAGCTAAAATGAAGCAGGGCCTAGCAGAAGAGCAGGGCCTCCTACCTGGGCTTGAGCACGAGCCCTGCTGCCTTCAGGAGACCCTACCTTTGGGACACATGACCTTTGTGAGCATCTGTGAGCTCCTCAAGCTCCCAGAGGGCATCTAATCCGAACTAAAATTTCTTTGGTTCATTTATACATTTGTTCTCGTTTTTTTGTTTTTTTTTTTTTTTTACCTAAGACATGGACAATGGTGGAGGGCAGAAGCAACATGCCACTGAGAACTGCAGATTAAGTTAATCATTTATCAAAGGAAAAACCAAAACAAACAAAGCAACCAACTCAGGGCTAGGGAGATAGCTCCTTGGGTAAACTGTTTGCTGCATAAACCCGAGAACCTGAGTTCAGACCTCCAGTGCCTATGTGAAAAACACAGAGTGACAGTGCAAGCCTTTCGTCCCGGGCCAGGAAGGCTGAAACAGGAGGATCCTCACGTGTTTTGCACGCCTGCCAGGCCAACGGGGCCGTCAATCTGTGAACACCAAGCTCAGTAAAAGACTGTCTTAAAAAACAAACAAACAAACAAAAAAACTAATAAGGTGAAGAGCATAAAGGAAGAACATAAGAACATGCAGCATATCGACCTTTGGCTTCAACACACACATGTATATGCCTGTACCTGCATAGCACACGCGCACACACACACACACACACACACACTAACTATCCCAGCATGGTGGTACATGCACTCTTGGCTACCTTTTCACTTCCCTTTGATCCCTTCCCTGGGGGTAAAAGGCAAAGGGACCTTCGGCTGTGCCTTTTATACAGACTCCTACTCGTTGGCGATATTACTAGCTCTGATTAAAAGGAAGCCTGTGATACAAACAAGAACACTGCAGGACAAAACTGGAAGGAGACTGACAGACCAGATGTGCTCCCGCACCGATTGCACAATACTAGACAGTGGAGAGAGTGATGTTATTTAGTTATGTTCAAAAGAAACGCTCAAGTTTGTTGGCAAGCTCCTGACCCTGGCCTGGAACTCACAGACAGCCAGTTTCTCCAGCCCCATTGCACTTCCCCCCCCTTTTTTTTTTGTTTTTTTGAGACAGGGTTCTCTGTGTA